CAACTCAAGGAATAATATCAGCAAATAGAGTTTTAACAAAAATAGAGACTTGCATTTAATAATTACTAGTCAACAAACAAGGGGAGAAAGACATGCATTTTTACAAATGGACAGCAGCAAACTCAGCAATGTTACTATTAAACTCTTGAGTAATTAGTAGGAGTATTTCTTCTATTCAAGATATTATCTCTCTCTGTAGACCTTCCTTGAACAGGGGCTGGAGCACTGCGTCGCTTACAACAGCAGCAAATACACAATGCTGCAAGTATAACTAAAATTATAAATCCAACCAGACACTGCAATGCCAGCAATAGCACCACCACTTAAACTATGAGCAACTAGAAAAAACAAAACTAGCTACTTCAGTTTATTTTCAATCTTACATTTACAAGCATCTTTGATACCACCTGGATCAAATCTAATACCATGTACTAATAAAATGAATAAAAATACATGAATGAGTGTTTTTTTATAATAATGAACTTACCACAAGTTACATTGAGAGCAGTACTGCATGAGAAAGTACTGGAAGGACATTTACCTCCAGAACATTTAGACAAGCAACTTGGCACATCTTTATCAGGATCATCGGTGCTACAATCCACATTATTCAACCATGCTTTGCCGGTACTAGGTATTACGATAAAAATAAAACTATTATAAAGCTATTATCAACTTACTAGTTTGTTACATCAACATCAAAAGCATTATAGCCAAGTTGAGTGCATACAGTCCATCCAGTTTCATCCTCAATAACACCACCATCATTACAGACTGCAGCCCATTCGTTGTTACAATATACTTGTACTATTCCTTGACCAGTATAATCCCCACCTTGAAGTCTAACCATTCCAGGGTATGGATTATCCCATATTCTTGTAGTATCTAAAACCGTACATTCTAATCACAATAACCAAATTATTGGGTAAACCTTTATCATCATGCATGTGACTTTTAAATAAACTTGTAGGCATGTCAAATTATATATATAGGGGTGGATAGCACTTTTTCAATATGATTGAATACAGAGTGAGTATTCTGCTACTGTGCATGTAAATGCTCAGGCATTAATGAGTAAAAGTTAACTATACTTACAGCAAGTGATATCAAGATTCATATCATAAGTGCAGTCTGGAGGAATGTCAATGTAGCAATCACACTGCATTATAGTAAGATATGAGTCTTGACAAGCTACCAAACTAAAAACTGGACTGGTATTGACAACCTCTGAACTATAATATAGATTGGAAATACAGACAGTGTGTACATCATGCTCAGCCTTACTTGCTGCCAAAGTCTCCACCAGTATATCCCAATTGATGGCACACTACATCAGGTACATACATATAAACGAAAAAGAAATAATCTTCCAAATAACAAATAGATCCCCATCTGTTATTGTAATACACTTCAATAACTCCTTCAGTGTTGGATGGATCTACACTTCCATTCAAATTAAGACGGACAACTCCATTCTCTTGACCTACATAAGTATGACACTGGAATGTATCAATATGCTGGAGCTAACCATTCCCAGCTTCAATGCACAAGAGAAGAGCTACAAACAGCAGAAAGCACCTAATGTTCTTCATAGCCATAGTTAATTTTTTCGCTGAGATCACAAGTGCATGCAGTGGGCGCCTAGTCTCGTGGGCGCCGGGCGCGGCGGCGTCTTTACTCAATGACGCTTTAAAAAATGAATTATAAATTTTTGACTGGTGAAAATTTTGGAGCTATAATGGCCGGTTTTGGTATGGCTGTTTCCAGGTCAATATTGATTTTACTCTTATCCAGCAGCTGTGAATTTATTGAATAAAATATACATAATGGCAATAAAAAAGTTCTTAGTAGCAGATAGAAAAGTCCCAAAGTTTCATACTTTTATCATAAGAACCAGAGACAATCACCTTAATGAAGGAAGAATAAAGTACATTACTTTGATCAATGGCAACTAAAACTTCAGCCAGTGGATTAAATTCATTGATTACATGTATGAAGATTGAAGAGATAATACCAATCTGCTTCATTGTACCTCTTCAACTGACCTTTGATTGTAATGAAGGACAAACTTACTTAGTAAGAAAATAGTTCTATTTTTGCAGTGTTTGGGTGAGATTGTATCATTGTTGAAGGAACTTGTCACACAGAGGGTACCAAGAGGCATTAGTGCTTGGGTGGGCATTAATTAGGGTGAGGAGTTTCTCCTGTATCTCCAGTCACAATATCTTCCGTCTCTCATGATACCAACTGACATTGGACAGGTATTGATAGTTGATAATTAGATGTACATTCACATTTTTTTATGTACCATAATGCCTCCAACATTTCTTGATACATTCTTAAGCTATGGATAAAGTTTAAGCTGATTCCTAAAAAGTTGTGGAGTTTCAAAGCTAGCAGATTCATACCAGTTAAAAATTACACTTTGTGATACATATTGATGTTCTTATGCTGTGTAGAAAGTTTGAGCTGATTCCAACTTCAATTTTTCAAGTTACAGCCATTTTAAGAAAACGCCAAAATTTTGAAAAGTACCCAAGGCTAAAATGGCTCCAAAATTACCCCCCATTTTTATTACATTTTCTGATACATATTGATGTCCTTATGCTGTGTAGAAAGTTTGAGGTGATTCTGACTTCAATTTTTTAAGTTATGGCCATTTTAAGAAAAGTACCAAAATTCTGAAAAGTACCCAAGGCTATAGTCCATGGTATTTTCGGAAAAATGGCTCCGAAATTACCCCAAATTTTTAGTACATTTTCTGATACATATTGATGTCCTTATTCTGTGTAAAAAGTTTGAGCTGATTCCGACTAAAATTATTCAAGTTACGGCCATTTTAAGAAATGGGCCAAAATCTGAAAATTACCCAAGGCTATAGCCCATGGTATATTGTCCAAAAAATGGCTCCGAAATCACCCCCAATTTTTATTACATTTTCTGATGCATATTGATGTCCTTATGCTGTGTAGAAAGTTTGAGGTGATTCTGACTTCAATTATTCAAGTTACGGCCATTTTAAGAAAACGCCAAAATTCTGAAAAATACCCAAGGCTATAGCCCATGGTATTTTCCAAAAAGTGGCTCCGAAATCACCCCCAATTTTTATTACATTTTCTGATACATATTGATGTCCTTGTGCTGTGTAGAAAGTTTGAGCTGATTTTAAGTAAGAGTTTTTGAGTTATGGGCATGCCATTTCTAAAAAATTTCATCACAATTTTCATACCTCTGATACATGTGCTTCATACCTTAAAGTTAATAGCACAATTTTCAAGGAAGAGCACTAACTGTACTGTTGTGTTTATGCTTTGCAGGAAATGTCAGTGAGACTTCAGGAGAATGACATGAAGTCATTAAAGATATATTTTAAAGTGAGAGAGTATTTATCATCATCCATTATTCATTATTGTTTCCATAGGCATTATTTACCAGTTTGAGAACTTCACCGACTCAAAGATCATAGAGTCTAATTTTATATTATTATTATTATTACTATAATTTTTAATAATCAATAAGTGATTATATGATGTTTGTAAATAATAAACAATCTTTTTTATCTACATCTACAATCCTTTTGAAGTGGCTACAGTGTTTACTGTAAAACTTACAGTAAGATCAGTTGTATCATTCGATCAACAAAGACATAAAGAGGGGAAGAGTAGAAAATGGAAGTTTACAAATTAATACTAAACAATGAATGAAATGTGGTATCAAAATGAAAAATGACACATGACACCATCAGAATGAGATTTCATTTTAATACTCTTGCATGACCACTCACAACAATTAATGTATGTACATTTACTATGTTCTTACAAATAATTCAGTGAAAACTAAAAAGGGCAATAATAATGCAAGCAACTCAAGGAATAATATCAGCAAATAGAGTTTTAACAAAAATAGAGACTTGCATTTAATAATTACTAGTCAACAAACAAGGGGAGAAAGACATGCATTTTTACAAATGGACAGCAGCAAACTCAGCAATGTTACTATTAAACTCTTGAGTAATTAGTAGGAGTATTTCTTCTATTCAAGATATTATCTCT